CTTTCCGGCCGTTTCTTCTTCAACAACAGAGAAAAAGTAGTGTGACGATCAATAGAGCCGTTTGGTAATCCTGCTTATGAAAAACTTATGAATCTTATCAATCAATTTTTTTCATTCAATACATAATTTTTATTTCGTTAAATTTTGTTAAATTTAACAATATTTATAAATATAAATTATTAATACATTAATAAATGAAATACAATCGAAAGAGAACATGTGATAAAGCAAAATTCAACATTTAACACTTTTTTAAGAAAGGAGGAAATATACACATCGATCGTTTTCATGTTAATTAACTCTTATTTTCTTTTCTTTTCAGATTAGGAGAGGATGATGATGATAGTGATAGAGCACGTGCGACATCCATGACACCAGCAGGAGGTTTAACAACATAAAAGGAGAAGATATATAAGAAAAATTAATAGTCGATCGTATAATTAATTAGCTCGCCTAGCTAGCTAGAGGGAGAAGATGAGGGAGCGAGGGTAGGTTTGAGAGAAATACAATATAAAAATATTCATGTCATTATACGTTTTGATGACAATAATTGGTTAGTTGTGGGGTTTTTAAACTCTGCCGTGCTTAAGCGATAAGATAAGAATTAAAGAAGGTAGCCAGTCTCTAAGTCAATACCCAAACAGTTCCTTGTTAAATTTTAACCACATGCTCTTTTACTTCACCAACCAAGTGGCCGCGCGTTGAATCTCATCTCACCCACACCGCATCAGCCACGCACACATCTTCTATAATCTATATTATACTCCCTACGTATCAAATTATTTGACCCAATTTTCTTTTTGGGTGTATTAATTTAATTGACCCCTTTCCCTTTTTGGAAAGAATCCTATTAAAAAAGCAGCTACAGTACTTCTACAGTACCGCTATAGTGTCGCTACAGTACCAAAAACCTCTTACTTTTAATAAAGTCTACAGTAATTGTCTTAAACTGCGTGAAAAGCAAACATGTCAATTAATTTGATACAGATGGAGTATTATGCGTACGTATATTATTATGGTGCCGTTTGGCAACACCTTATTTCGGCTTATCAGGCTTATCAGGCTTATCAGCCGACTTTTTCATTAAACACGTAATTTTTGCTTTCGCGCGCTAAATTGTGTAATAAGCAGAAAAAGTAAGGTTAAAGTTACTTTTCTAGCTGTATTGGCTGAAATTACTGTAGATGATCATTTTAACTATTTTACTTATAATTTTTTCTTTATTTTGATAATAAAATATATTTTAAAAATAATTTTTTCTTAAATCAGCAGAATCAGCCAATGCAGCCAGAACTTCATAAATTTAAGCAGAAACAGCCAAATCAGCCGATTTTCGTCCTACCAAACAAGCTCTATACTTCTAATAATTAATGATAGGGAAAATTCCCGAAATAGGACTAAAACAGTTTGAAAATTCTAAAATAGCACTGTCATATTTTTTATTCCCAAAATAGGAGTAATTACTGTCAAGTTTGGAAAATACTGTCATGTTTGAAGTCCGGTACTGCCAAAACATGACAGTAATTACTCCTATTTTGGCAGATATACAATATTAATATGTTTATTTATAGTGGTGGGAAATTTAGAACAATGACCAATGATCGAAACCCGCAGCGGCCGGTTACAGCTCTTGCGCGTTGGGTTGGACCTCCGCTGTGCACGGGCATAATGCCTATCATCATTGGGCCATTGAATCACCGTGACTTACTTCCCTACCATTTTGTCGGGTCAGAGTGTGGGGGCTCCTCGGATGGGAGATTCCACCTTTGAAAAAATGTCTATTTATATATGCATCGGTTAATGTAGGACAAATTTCTTACAAAGTCCTACTCCGTATATAACTCCATTAAAGAATCATACATGTCTCCATAATGACTATCCAATTTTGTTAGGGAGGGTCCTATTTCAAAAATACTACTCCGTAGTATATGACTCAAACTCCATTGTATGAATCATATCGAAATATAAATATGACTCCACAATAATCATTCAATTTTGTTGTAGAGAGTCTTAGTTTGAAAATGACTACTGTGCACACCCCTATCGCCATTTTGATGTAAAAGAATTGAAGTTTAATTACTTTTGTTATTCCCTTATTTGAAACTTTGAGTTTATATATACTCCTTTGTTCGGAAATGAATTTCGACCTAAAAATATGTAAAGTGAAGTTTTGTTTTGACTTTTCAATTATACTTTTGATTTATGTTAAATCAGACAAGAAATGAATAATAAGTAAGAGTAGTTGTGACTTTTTGATTGAAAATGATTTTCTTTAAAAGAAATGATAAGTTCTTTTTGGTACATCCGTAAAAGGAAAGTAGAAACTTCTTTTCAAAACGGAGGCAGTATAGTATAGTCTTTATGTCCGGAATTTCCAAACAGGACCACCGCCCGACCACCTCATTTTGAGGTGATTCCGATCCGAGTGGAATTTTTAACGAAATTTTGTGAACATATTGTCCATGAAATATAGATTGTATCCACCAAATTTTAGTTAAAAATTCAACCGAGAATTCAGTGAAAGCAATTATTGAAAAAAACTGCGTTTTTATATATATTTTTGTGCAGTTTTTCAATAATTTATTTAACTGACTTCCCGATTGAATAATATGCATGAAAAGTAAGAATAAATATGGTGCATCCAATTTATGATCGAATAACTCTAAATAAGTCAATAATGCATTAAAGTTGATAAAAATGTGGTGGCACACTGGTAAATTTTAAAGAATTTCGTCATTTCTAAATGGATTTAATGCACCAAACCCCCTCCTTATATAGAAATCCAGCACATTAGTCCCATGTGATTTGAAACATGCATCAAACCCTTGTGTTATACGTATTCATGCGCAGAACCCCTTTTGTGAATAAATTTAACAATTTTAAAATCACTTTTCTTAATATTATGATTGAATATGCAAGTAAATTTATCAAAATCTCTAAGTTATATAAAAATGTTAACCATTTTTGTATTATCAAACAATCAATTTTGTTCATATAAGGGATTATGCACATGATTAATAATAACACACGAGTTGGTGCATTAAACCCTTTCTAAAAGTGCATTGTTTGAAGCCAAAAAGTATATCATGCAAAATAATAAGTACAATAATTCGTACTTTGCATAGGAACACTATTTTTTTTGGAATGGAAATTATCTATATTAAAATTAACAAATCAAGCAACATTACAATAGACTCAAGATCATAACAACCCTATACATACGCCCAATAATCAGCTTAATCAGCTTTAACTTTGCCACCCACAAATGAGCCGCGGAAGTCACTAACCATGTAATGCACAAATTGAAGCTTAACATCACCATATAAGTCTTCATGTTTCTATCATGATTCAAAAACTTGCAACTCTACCAAAACCAAACCAACATAAGAAAATAACAAAGAAACAAGTCATCAGTTTCCATTATTTCGCGGCGCAGCTTGATTCCATTAGACCTGTAGATCTGTCTCGACTGTGTGAAAAACAATGATATTTATTCCAATCTTGTACTACGTACTTAACAATTTGATGAAAAAAACTCGTATTACTCTTTCCTCCTGTGGCGGTGGTTTTGGAGGAGAGCGGATCAATGATGTCATCGTAGATGGGTTGAGAAGCATAATTGGATTTGGAAAAGCATATATAAAACTTGATGAATAACATCAATAGCAATTGAACAAAAGCATAACTCCGTGGAAGCACTTGCATCATTTATTTGAGAAGAAATCACTCGTAAAATGACTGTCAAAATTGACAGAAAAAGAACCCTAAAAATTTTAGGAAGAAAAACACCACTCATACGAGTGCACAAACCACATTTTTACTTACGTATAAAATCCATATTGTGAAGATTAATTCTCCTCGGGAAAAGGGGCAAATAAGGCCACGTACTAAAAAAAAAGGTCAAATAAGGCCTTATTTATGAGGTTCTGTCCGGCCTTCGCCATTTGGGGTGGTTCTCGGTGGAATTTTTTGTCCATCTTATTCGTTAAGTCTAGTTTACTCATTTCAAATTTCAGCTAAAAATTCAATCGGGAAGACATTCAAATAAATTCTTGAAGATAACTGCACAGTTATCTTCAAGAATTTATTAGAATGCCTCCCCGATTGAAGTTTTAGTTGAAATTCGGTATGAGTAAACTAGACTTCACGAATAAGATGGTCAAAAAATTTCATCAAGAAATTCCACCAGGAACTACCCCGAATGCCGATGGCCGGACAGAGCCTCTTAAATACGGCCTTATTTGACTTTTTTTGTTAGTACGAGGCCTTATTTGCCCCTTTTCTCATTCTGCTCCGACCATCAGACTGAAAGAAGCAAAATTCTAAATGCTGAAAGCAAAGGAAAACACTATTTTTATTATAAATCTATATTATAAATTCTACATTATACATACTCTGTATATATACTCCTTATTACTAAGTATATACGTAGTATATAAAAAAGCTATCTTCATCAGTGTCTTTTGTTTTTCATATTTCATCAGTTTTGAATAATACAGACGTTTTAGTTGATCAATTGGTGAAAGAGAAAGGGAGGGGTAGATGGGTACGTACTTTCATGGGAATTCTGAAATCCAAGCTGGGAGTGGCGGTGATGGCTTACAAACACTTCTACTCATGAACCCTGCCGGCGGCAGCGGCGGTTATGTTGGGTTCCCTAACGCCTCTCAGCCGGCGCAGCACCAGCCGCCGGGGAACAACTTCATCTTCCTCAACTCGAACGTCGGCCCTGTGAGCTCAATGGAATTCCCGTCCCACGCGCCGCCGTCTCAGTATGTCGGCATCCCTTTTTCGCAACCTGAGGTCCACGTTTCCAGCGCGCACGACTTCTCCGCCCTCCAGGGTTTCATCGGGAGGCCGCAGTATAACCTGTACGGCTCGCCGGTTGACCTGGCCGCGGCGCGTGAAGTAACGCGCACCCAGCACGGGCTATCCCTGAGCCTCTCCTCTCAGCAATCCGGGTTTGGGAATTTCGGGGCGGGGCGGGAGGTGGGGAACGAGCAGTATGTGTCGGCAGTCGGCGGGGGTTCTCCGTCGGCTGCTTCCAACGGCGGGCTGCAAAACGTGCTGTTGAGTTCGAAATTCTTAAAGGCGGCTCAAGAGCTTCTCGACGAGGTGGTGAATGTGGGAAAGGGAGTGAAGAGTGAAGGGGAAAATAAAGAGGTGCTGCCCAAGAATGACGGAATCGCCAGCTCAGACGGAGAGCAGAGTGGGGGTAAACGCGCCGCCGCGGAGCTCTCCACAGCAGAGAGACAGGAAATTCAAATGAAGAAAGCAAAGCTTGTGAACATGCTCGATGAGGTAATTAAGTTAATCCATCTTAATTATTATAAGAGTTTTTTCTCCAAGCTTATTCGATTAAATTAATATTTTGATCGAGGATTTCTTAGCTTCTTGAAGAGACTGGTTCTGTTCTGACAAAAGATAGATTGAACACACACAGACAGAGTTCGTTCTGCGTAAACAAGGACCCCAAGAAGATGGGAAAGAAATTAAGTAATTATGTAAAAGTCTACATCATCATCAAATGTATAAATCATGATCGATCAGCTGCTTTCTTCCCTTCCCTGTCCAATTCAAAGTGTTCTTTTCAAAAGCTGTAAAGAACATCATCTGACTATCAATTTTTACGTGGGCACCTTTCAGCCATTGCATATATATACTCCCTCCGTCCCTTAAAACTTTGCCAACTTTCTTTTTTTGGATGTCCCACTAACTTTGCCACTTTCCCTTTCAAGTAAAGAATTTGTGGTTTCTGTTAATTCTCTCTCCTCTGCACAAATCTCAACCACACAGTTTTTACTTTATTAATCCCCGCGCCGGTCAAACTTGGCAAAGTTTTAAGGGACGGAGGTAGTATATGTCAAAAGCAAAAGATGCTATTTTTTATGGTTTTGACTTTTTGCAAATATTCCTAATTGATTATTGTTTAGATGAGAATAAATATACTTGGAGTATAAAGCAATCTGGAATGGATGGACAGGTGGAACAGAGATACAGACAATACCACGAGCAGATGCAGGTGGTGATATCATGGTTTGAGCAGGCGGCAGGGGCGGGTTCTTGTAGAACGTACACAGCCCTGGCGTTGCAGACCATCTCAAAGCAGTTCAGGTGCCTTAAAGACGCGATCTTGGGGCAAATACGAGCTGCCGGGAAGAGCTTAGGAGAAGTCGAAGTTGGTGGTGGCGGTTCATCCCCATCGTCGTCGTCCCCATCCAGCAGGCTGAAGTTTGTGGATAGGCAGCTCAGGCAACACAGGGCTTTGCAACAGTTGGGAATGATCCAACACAACAGCAACGGCGCAGCTTGGCGGCCCCAGCGAGGATTGCCGGAGCGCTCTGTTTCTGTTCTTCGCGCTTGGCTCTTTGAGCATTTCCTCCACCCGTAAGCTTTCCGCTCTTTTTTTTTTTACGTCTCACCACTGATTACGATAGCCCCCTTAATTGACCGGTGAAAAACTCATAACAACCGTGTGGAGGTTATAGGCTTATAGCTCTGGTGTTAGACTAGACCTCTGGTGCGCACGAGCACAATGTCTACCACCATTGGACTGGTCCAGTGACTCCACTTTTGGGGGGCTTTGGGGTTGGGGATTCCATTTTTGGAAGATTTAATGACTAGATTTGATCTTGAGTCATTAGTCCAAATTTTCAGTGACAAATTAACACATGTGAAAGTCAAATTGTTCGGATAAAATACTGAGTAATTCAATCTAGTACTTTAGCGCACTGGATATGTGGCAATGATTTAGTACTTCAATTTTGAGAGATTGCTCCAATTGTTTTGTACTTCAACTTACCAGTAAAATTACCACCACTAAAATAGTAAAATGTATTCAAAATCCTAATATCTGATGTAGGTGAGATATATGAGTAGAAAGGGAAATTAATGCATCGGGATTCGGGAGAATGGAAATGAACCATCCAAACGTCAAAAAGAGCATCTGAATGGTTATCATACGCGTCCAATACCATCACATTAGGAAACAACACTTTATAGTATGGAAAAGTACGCATCTCTTTGTCATACTTGTGCTGATCTTTATTACTACCCGTCCAGTTGTAGAGTTCACTGTATAGCCCAACGTTATGCAACTTCGACACATTGAGATCATATCAAAGATCATTGAGGGCCTGTTCGTTCCAATTTACTTGACCCAAATCACAGTTTGCTCAATGCTTTAAAAGAGTTGACATTTGTTTGAACAAACTTGGTACATCAAAAAGTACTTATTTCGACTGTTTTGTTTATTCAGCTCATAGGAGAATAAATAAATACTCCGTAACAAAAAATATCACTTTTAGCTATCAAATGGGCTCAAATACTCTCGTAGTTAAATCCCAAGGGTTTACACTTTCTTAGGATGAGTAGCCCGTGAATTTTATAATATTGTTATCGTAAAACTAATAATGCATGTTCTCTCCATTGTCTGTGCAGTTACCCAAAAGATTCAGACAAAATCATGCTGGCTAAACAAACAGGTCTTACCAGGAATCAGGTTATTTAAACTGTTCAAACATCTTTTAATTATTATTATAAAGAATGTTCATGTTGAATGAGGGTGGGTTTTGGTGTGAATTCAGGTGTCAAATTGGTTCATCAATGCTCGGGTCCGACTGTGGAAGCCAATGGTAGAAGAGATGTATCTGGAAGAGACCAAGGAACAAGAACAAAGCCAAAATGCATTAGAGAACCAAACAGGGAAAGGTAGTGAGCCAAACAAAGATTCTTCAGAGTGTTCGGATCATCAAGAAAAGAGCAGTCTTACCCCAAACCAACAACTCTCTACTGTATCTTCTCCCGCGGACAGAAACCAATCCAGTTTCAGCCCGGAAAGCCCGAAGAAGGCCAGAAGAGCACAAGGCCCGGACTCTTCCTCCATGGATTTTACATTAATGGGTGGTGGAGGTGGGGGATCAGCTAACTTCATTGGCGGGTTCGAGTCATACCCGATTGGAGAAATTGGATCATATTCGGGCAATGCGGTCTCCCTAACGCTTGGTCTGCCTCATAGTGAAAACCTCTCAATGTCAGGGGCACACCACGGGTTCATCCCAACTCAAGAAATGCATATGGAAAGAGGGGTAGAATTGGGAGAATCGAATGATCAGTTTGGCGGTATGAATGCTCCAATGAGTTACAACAACATTGAGAACCGGAAGAGGTTTGCCGCACCATTGTTGCCAGACTTTATAGCTTGCGGTTACCAACAAATGCTCAGCAAGGAAGTAAGAGATTCTTCATAATACTGTAAAGATATAAAAACATTTATACTTTGCAGAAGAACAAGCAATATAGTTCATATGGATAGTTTTTTAGCCTTTTAGACATTATATTGGTGAGGATTGTATAGTGTGATTGCTGTTGTATTTAATATCAGGGGGACGTAGGTATTGTGGGATGTTATAGTTAATAATTTGAATTTTAAGGTGTTGTTTCTTGAACAGCAATTAATCAAATTATATACCAACACTGCTGGTATTACAGCATTTGTTACTTGGATGGTGATTGATGAACTGAAAAGAAAGTGAGCCTTATTTGGATATTTACTTTTGGATACTGAGTTATAGAGTACTACATGGGAATCATGTTTTTGTTGAAAACTTTGTGATAAAAGGCTATTCCTTGTCAGATGAGGACTCTTTGGAGTTAGCTTTTTAAGGTAGTGTGATATCTCCAAGGGCATCAATAGCTTCACAAGGACCACAAAAGAGAAAGGCCTTATCTATAACGGGGTAAACAAGAAACTGGTTTACCTCACCACTAAAAAGGTGGTCCTCTCCATCCCACTATGGCTTCGGGAAAAATATGATCAATGGATTTTAACTTAAAAATATTGTAAATTATTGGTTAAATTTAAATCCTTTATGACCTAGGTGGTTAAGGATGTTTTTACTTGGATTGAAATATGTTGTATACTGCGTATTTATAACTATCAAAGTCTGGTCAAATCTGGTCTGATCTGAACTGGTGAAATCTGGTCTGGTCTAGTTTGGTCTGATCTCTCAGGCAACCCCATCTAACTATGCCATGGGGAAAAACGTTAGAGATGAGGGATATTCATAACGAGATACTCACAATATCAAAACAAAAACAAAAGCTTCCATTCTTTCATGTTTTGTCTAGCATGCACGAAAATAAAATTCTTGTTTTCTTTTCAAGAAAAAAGTGTAGTTTCTTCATGTTTCTCAGCTCAAACCACAACATTTCAATTTCATAAATAAACATGTCATTTCAGACAGAAGGAGTATCATTTATTATCTACTTACATCACTACATGCAGAATGATTGGCAATAAAGAAAGGGGGTATAGACTATCAAAATAATGTCCTACCGTGGCAGATTTCAATAAATTGTTCAACCAAAGCAGGAATTCATTAATCATCTCCACTAATTCAGCCAAATTAGTTGCATATTAAAGAATCGAAAAATGTTAGACGTCCTTGATTTTCAACCCTATTTTCTAGACTATTTTTTATGCAACTTATAAGTTGTAATGCAGAAAAAAACAATACGGTGTTCACAAAAACTGTATCAATAATCAATCTATCACGTATAGAAAGAATATTATCAATCTAGCCAAATGCCAAGGGTATTGAAAATTTTTAGGGATGACACTGAATTTTCATTGACATCATCTTTTTTTTTGGGGGGGGGGGGGGGGGGGGCTACTATCATGGATTATCAAAGCATATGTTTTACATTAGATAAACCCGGATAGTTTTCTTGGTTCAAAGTTCTAACATGCGAAATTGCGAATAGTATCCATTTCATATTTCACGACATAAATAGCAAAAAGTGTCAGAGATTCAACCTGAATCCATGAAACTAGTCATGGACCCGGGCCGGGCCGGTTCCGGTTCCGGGCCGGGCCCGGCCGGGCTTTTTTTTTGGGAAGGAAGGCCCGGGACCGGCCCAGGTAGCCACCGGGTCCGGTCCGGGTCCGGGCCGGGCCGGGCCTCCGGTTCGGTCATAATTTTTTTTTTGTTTTTTGCTTTCCTAACCCCCCCACTCACCCCCCCAAACCCCCAAACCCCTCCTAACCATCAAGCCCAACCCGGCTAACCCCAACAAATGAAAAAAAAATAAAAAAAAATCAATTCGGCCCGGGCCCGGGCCCGACCCGGCCGGGCCGGTTCGCCGAATACAAGGCCCGAGCCCGGACCCGGACCCCCCACCGGGCCTAGGCCCGACCCGGACCCGAGAACCGGGCCGGTTCCGGGCCCGCACAGTGGCGGGCCGGGCCGGTCCCGGGCCGGGCGGCCCGAACCGGGTCCATGCCTACATGAAACAATAAAAGGGGGGTCTTCACAGTTTTTATTCATTCAATACTTAGAAAAGGGAGCCTTTATTGTATTTATCGTCTGTGTCATCAGTGTCTTCATCATCACTGTCTTCTTTCTCATCACCCTTAAAATCTTGGTAAACCAGGGTACGTGAAGGTTCATAACGATCCGAAGAATCAAGCTGAAGATCCCCTCGGTTCTTAACCAACAGCCACCGAAGTAAACGGTCTTCCTTATTCAGGTAATGCAACTCGTTGTTGAAATTAGGCGGTGTCATCATCGTCATTTGCATCATCTGCCCCTACATTATTCACGAACCAACTCGTTGTTTAATTCATTAGTTTCTTACATAATCAATCCCAACTAAACATGAGAGAAAAAACTCCTATATTTTTGTGTTATTAAATCAGACCTGAAAATACCTCCCATCAAGCTTTTTAATACCATAGCCGAGCTGGACAGTTCCAAAATACTTTACATCTGTGAGGACTCCATTTCTACCATAGACATGCTTCCCCACCTTAATAGCCAGTTCCATCAACGCCTCCTTCTTTATATGGGGTTTCAACAAAAGCATGCAGTCATAAAGTGGCATCTTTAATTGTTACTCCACGTTGCTCCTACATTCAAAGAAACGAAAGTTTGTATTAAAAATGTATTGATCTTTGATCCCTCAACAAGTAAAACAACTCAAATCTATGATGCGCAGTAAGAAAAGAGAAAAGGCAAAAACAGCATGTTCAATTTTATATTTCAGTCAAATAAGTACACATCCATTAAAGTTTAAAAATTGTGGTCTCTCTAACAGTTGTAGAACTTGAATGATCTTTCCAGCGACATATAGAAGAGGTCAAATGGAAATTCGTACACTTGCATATGATCAAATTGGTATAAGAGGAAGCGGTCTATGGTCACCGACCCACTCTCTAATATAGGAGGTCCTAGGTTAGAAACTCCATAGAGACAGTTTTAAACCCCTGCCCCCCCGGGGAATAGACAAAGGAAAAACAATGAATTGGCATCCGTCATAAATTTTAGAGTCGTCTTTATTTTATCAAAATATGTAAAAGCAACGTTTTAGACTTAAAATGACATCTAGCAGCATATCTGATCATATCTAAGTCTAGATATATGCATTTAAACCCTTTTTTGTCCATCGGGTCATCATCATTTTATCAGATTTTCCATCATTTGCAATGGAGTCAAAGATTCATTATTTTTTGGCTTGAGAATATGATGGAATAAAGCAAATGGCTCACTAAACTGTCTGCGCTTCTTTGTTATGAAGCAGCAGTCAGTCCATGCAATTTTGGACGCGATTTTCACTATAGGTCATCCAGAAACAGTCTCTCTGCACTTTGGTACAGGGGTAAGACTGCGTACATCCGACCCCCCTTACCCCACCGTAGGTGGGAGCCTTTGCGGCAATGGGGCAAATGAAAATGAAAAAATGAAAATGATCTTTATTTTATCAGAATATCTAAAAAAAAGTGTTTTATACTTATATTGACATATAGTAGCATATCTGATCATATCTAAAAATAGATATATGCATGTAAACCTTTTTTATGTCCATAGAAAGATAAATTCAATTTCTAAAAAGTTTATAGAGACTACAATTCTCAAACTTTAAAGGATGTGTACACTGTGTACTTATTTGACCAAATATAAAAAAGCAATGTTCTTGATAGTATATTATTCCAAAATTTTAGAGTCAACTTTATTTGATCACAATATCCCAAAAACAATGTTCTAGAATAAACATGACATCTAGTAGCACATCTGATCATATCTGAGTATAGATATTTGCATTTACAGAAAATTCCCTACATAGGACTAAAACAATGTTAAAGTTCATAAATAGGACTATCATTGTTTTACTCACAAAGTAGGACTCATTCACTCCTAATTTGGGAAGTTTTAAACAACTTATTCTATTAATAGGACTAAATAAGTCCTATTTGGGGAATAAAACACACTTAATCTTATTTTTGAACTTTGTGCATGTTTTGGTCCTATATCGAACAATTTCTATTGCATTTTTAAACCCTTTTTCAGTCCAAACTTTAAAGGATACATACCTATTTGACAAAATATATAAAAGCAGTGTTGTTGGCCCTGAAATAAAGAACCGGTATATTTGATCAGTATGAAGTTATTCATCTCAGACTTTTTTATGCCACTGGAAAGTTAAACTGAAGGACTACAACTCTTATAGAAATTATCTCCCAAATTTAAAGAGGCAACCTTTATTGAACCAAAATATCTAAAGACAACATTGTAGAGTTAAAATGACGTCAAGTTGTAAATCTGATCAATAGGTAAGAGTGTAAGTTCAATCAAATATATACATATATAATGTTGATTCTATTAACAAATTCCACACAAAAACTTACCGAAAAAACTTCGAAACGATAACAATATGTACATATCACATGTTTATAACTACAGCTTTTAGTTTTTTTTCCTGTTTTTTTGGAGTAAAATGCACAATAGGAGTTATGCCTTTTTTAAAGGAAAGAAGCTATATTGAGATAATCAAATGGACGGGCACCACCAATCGCAAAAAGATACTCCTAAGAGGAAGATAAACCATGGAGGGTGAAATCAGCTCGGCTCTTACTCTATCTACATTGAGCTAAAAGTATTTGGTATTCGGTTTTTCCCACACCAACATCCCTCCATAAGATTTTCTTTAATTCAACAAACTGACAAAAATGCAGATTTCCTAAATACAATCAAAATTTTCAATCAGGTATTTCAGGGGGGAGGCCCTGCAACGACTTGTAGGTTTACTCAAGCAGATTGGAGGCCAAACAGATATTTTAATGTTATAGATCCTACTAATAATTAAAAAAAATAAAATACAACTATCGAAAACATATACTCCCTGTGTCCCGAAAGAAGTTCCTCATTTGACTTTCACACACTTTTGTGCAAGTAAACTTATCAGGGGTAAATTTTACTATTTTGACACTGTTTGGCAATGTTTGACACTGTTTTGCACTGTTTTGATGTAGATAACTTTCCATTTAAGGAAATGAGAACTTAAATTAGCGACATCCAAATAAGGAAAATAAGGAAAGTGAGAACTTCTTTCGGGGACATAGGGAGTATAAAAGTGATGAACCAATTGTACAAAGCACGCACTAGTACGGAAGTATATTCTTACCAGAACTCAAACCTCGCGAAAAATATTGAGAAAAAGAAAACAAATGCAAAAGCTGAAAATAAAATCAGTAGAGTGGTGTTCCGCGAACTGATTCAATCAAACATTCAAGTCTAACAGATAATCTGTTACGTGCGTTTTCAGATTGAGAAATTCTTACCGGAAAACTGAATCTTCGTGATCTGAAAATTCTGTTTTGCGTCAACACTGTCCAAACAACACTTCATTTATTCATTGATTTTGAGAATATTGATAGAGAAGGAAGTTGCAGCAGCTGAGGATAGAGCATACCTGGATACGGACGAGGTTTCAGTCCAGATATGGAACTGAATTCCAGATACGGACGAGGTTTCAGTCCAGATACATTAACCGGCCCAAATTCATTAAGATTGCTTCTTTTTTAAAATAGAAAAAACTGGCAAGAATAATGTCACCATTTAACCATCTTCACATTAGAGCATCTCCAATGCTATAATGTCCACGGTGTACATGTGGCATGAGTGATAGCCACATAAATATTAGCAAATAAATTATTTCTCTCCTTATTTGAATGATTTTATACAATTTTGGTAAGTTTTTCCCTGCAATGTCAACAACAATGTCAACATCTAGACGGTCTCCTTGACAGTGTGGAGAGAAACTTATCAAAACCGTATAAAATCATTCAAATAAGGAGAGAAAGAATTTATTTACTAATATTTATGTGGCTATTTTTCATGTCACGTGTGCACCGTTCACATTTTACCATTGGAGATGGTCTTATAATTTCACTTTACATAATTCGAGAATAATTTTAGGAAGATTAAGTTTTTGTGAAAGGTGGGATTGACCTTCTTTGTCAAAAGTGATTTCACGAAGTGTTAATAGAAGTGTTAATAGAAGGTGATTTCACCAACTTATTTTGTGGATCTTGATCAGGTTTACATAATCCAGAATGATTTCACTGAAAAAGTTATTTTTTTAAGTGATGTTAAAACTGAAATTTATGAATATATATAAATGGAACTAAGGAACAATTTTACAATAGAGAAGAAATATTATTACATAGAGAGGCACACGTGTGAGTCCTCTTAGTATTTCTTCATACGTAAAATGCAATACATGCACACATATATATAGCTATAATATATAGAAACTAGGAACCCTACATATACAAGTGGGCCCTGAATAATAAATGGTGCAAATAAAAAAAAACAACTCTCAATACTCCCCCTCAAGTTGGAGTGTGGAGGTCACAAACACCCAACTTGTTGCGAAGAAACTAAAAACGATCAGTGCCAAGTGCTTTAGTAAAAATATCTGCTGTCTGATGTGTAGTGGAGATATAACATGGATTTATTTCCCCACTAGCAACGCGTTCCCGTACGAAATGACAGTCTATTTCAACATGTTTGGTGCGTTCATGAAAAACAGGGTTAAGTGCAATATGACGTGCTGCTTGATTATCACAGAAGAGGGATGTAGGACTGGACTGATGAACCGTGAGATCTCGCAGCAACCATCGTAACCACAAGATTTCACTAACAGTTACGGCCATGGCACGATATTCTGCTTCCGCGGAGGACCGTGAAACGACAGATTGTTTCTTTGTTCTCCAAGAAATCGGTGAACTCCCAAGAGCGATAAAATAACCAGTACTAGATCTGCGAGTGAAAGAACATCCTGCCCAGTCTGCATCACAATACGCCTTTAATGTAAAATCTCCATCAGCAGAGAGAAAAATGCCTTGTCCTGGGGTTTGTTTCAAATAGCGAAGAACACGTATAGCGGCATCAAGGTGAGTTTGGCGCGGCTTATGGAGAAACTGGCTTAGTTGACTGACTGAGAAGACAATGTTAGGGCGAGTGACGGTGAGGTATAATAGACATCCGATCAAACGACGATATGATGAAGCATCTACGAGTGGGCTGTCATCATCTGGTCGAAGTTTCAAATTTTGTTCCATAGGAAACAAACTAGGACGACCGGCTAGGAGACCGCATTCGTTCAGGATGTCAAGGGTATACTTTCTTTGACTTAGCACAAACCCTTTGGAGAGCGAGCAACCTCAATACCAAGAAAGTATTTTAGCGGACCCAAATCTTTTATGCTAAAATTTTCATCCAGATGTCGTTTAGTATCATTGATGTGGGAGACATCATTTCCGGCTAGAATTACATCATCAACATATATGAGAGCAAATGTCTGGACGAGACCTCTTCTGAAAATGAATAAAGAATGGTCCGCATGAGATTGACGAAAACCAACTTTCAGCAGTGATTGGGTAAATTTGTGATACCAATTACGAGATGCTTGTCGTAAACCATAGAGTGACTTTTGTAATTTGCAAACACGAGTATCTCCATTTTTGGAAAAACCTTGAGGAACACGCATGTAAACGTCCTCAGAAAGATCTCCGTGAAGGAAAGCATTGTTCACGTCTAATTGGTGAACTTCCCAATGCTTCTTAGCTGCTACCGCTAATAGGCATCGTACCGTGACCAGTTTGGCAACTGGAGCAAAAGTTTCATGAAAATCAACTCCTTCAACTTGTGTGAAACCTTTTGCAACCAATCTAGCCTTGTAGCGTTCTACTTCTCCGTTTGGTTTATACTTGATTTTATAAACCCATTTGGAATCCACTAATTTTTTGTTTGACGGTAGATGAACCAGAGTCCACGTACCATTTTCTTCTAAAGCTTGAATCTCCTTTTGCATAGCTTCCCGCCATAATGGATTTTGAACAGCCTGAGAAAATGTTTTTGGCTCATTATGTGAAGAGATGGCGACCAAAAATGCTCTATGTTTGGTTGAAAACCTTTCATAATTTAGAAAGTTAGAAATGGGATATTGTGTGGAGCCCGCCGAATTGGCGGGCCTGGAGTGAGTCAAAGAGGGCGGTAAGTCCGTATCGAAGGCAGCCAAGTGTGAAGGGAGCCTCCTAATTCTGTCACTTCTTCTAACCTCATTTGTCATAGGCACGAAATCAGTTGATTCAAATTCACTATCCAAAGCCCCATTATCGTCCTGATCCTTGCTGACAGCTTGCGGAGAAGGGAGATGAGCGGTAGGTGAGTGAAGCCAAGGGGCTGCCATATTATGGGGCCGTCCAGAAGATGCTATGTGAAGGGGATCTGGCCCAACATCTATTTGATTGCTGCGTTCAAGAGTAGATGGCCGAAAATTAACTTGTTCGGCGGGCACAAGAGGACAAGTAGCTGACCCAGTATCCACATCCGTGCAGTCCTTCTCCTGTTGTTGGTCTTGACGTCTGCAGATGGGAGGGCATACAACTGGCGGACCAGGACGCCAATTAGTCTCATGTGAGACTTTCGGCGAAGGAGTAGTAGGATGGCAGTTGGGCGGCTCCACTCGTCCAGAAGGTGTTTTCATCGGTGAATAATAATCTGAGGGTGACCTGGTGGATGGGAGGTCAAATCCTTCTTGTAAATGTCGAGAACGTGGCTTTGGCTGAACGTGAGAAGTGCTGCAATTTTCAATTACTTTGTTGTAGACCTGATTAACTATAAATCCAAAATCATGCCCTTCTTGTTCTATTAATTTGAATGGAAACTCATTTTCAAAGAAAGTCACGTCCCTCGAGCTGTAAATGTCCTGCTTTCGTAAATCAAAAACTCTGTAGGCCTTTTGACCATAGGGATATCCAAGAAAAATACACGGACTCCCCCTTTCACCAAATTTATCTTTACGTTTGTTGTCGTGTGCATACACCAAGCACCCAAATACCCGTAAGTGTTCATAGCTAGGTATTTTTCCAAATAGCATTTCATAAGGGCTTTTATTTGAAATAATGGGTGAGGGTAGCCGATTTATTATGTAAACCGCGGTAAGAATACATTCTCCCCAAAAATCAATAGGTAACCCCGACTGAAAACGAAGTGCTCTAGCGACCTCCAAAATGTGTCTATGTTTGCGCTCTACAACCCCATTTTGTTGGGGAGTATCTGTGCACGACGTCTCACAAATAATTCCACGACGTCCATAATACTCAAATAATGGTTTAGTCTGAAACTCCAATCCATTATCTGATCGTATTCGCTTAACTCGTTTTTCAAATTGAGTTTCCACCATATTACAAAATTGTATCAAATGCTGACAAACTTCCGATTTATTCTTCATAAGGTAAACCCAAACACCTCGAGTGAAATCGTCTACGATGGATAAAAAATAACGTGCTCCGGAAGTAGAATCACACCTATATCCTCCCCATATATCACAATGTATCAATTCAAAACAACAAGAAGTCTTACTTGTGCTTTCGGGAAAAGAAAGGCGGGTTTGCTTGGCACGCACGCAGGGGTCACAAAAATTACTGTCACGATGAAAACCCTTGAGAAACCCGATGTGTTGGAGTTTTCCGTCAGAAGCATGCCCCAACCGTAGGTGCCATAAATCAGGACCAAAAATAGCTGACGCTGTTACCTCCTCACCTTTTGACGGTTCCAGGTAATATAGACCATTATGGAGTCGGCCTCTCCCAATTATCCTTTTTGAGTATAATTCCTCTAAAATACAACCACTTGAGGAAAAAATAAGTGTGCAATTGAGATCGCTAGTAAGACGGCTGGCAGAGAGCAAGTTGCACTGAAACTGTGGGATATAAAGAACGCGCCGAAGACATAACCCATTTGATAGGTATAGACTTCCAACAGCAGAAACTGGAACTAATTCACCATTGGGGATTCTGACGGACGGCTCGAAGGGGTGAGTTTGGATGTTGAAGAGATTATCTTCTTTACAAGTGATATGTTCACTTGCACCAGAATCAATTATCCAAGTGAGAGTGTTAAATGATACTTCTGCCATGTCGATGTGATCATGGGAGAAAGGCAAAGAAAGTATTATTTTGAATCTCTAACGAGGACATTGATTTCCAGGTTTCGGCTCTGATACCATGTTAAAACTGAAATTTATGAATATATATAAATGGAACTAAGGAACAATTTTACAATAGAGAAGAAATATTATTACATAGAGAGGCACAAGTGTGAGTCCTCTTAGTATTTCTTCATACGTAAAATGCAATACATGCACACATATATATAGCTATAATATATAGAAACTAGGAACCCTACATATACAAGTGGGCCCTGAATAATAAATGGTGCAAATAAAAAAAAACAACTCTCAATAAGTGATTTTAGAAAAAGTGTTTAATAGTAAAAGTTGGTATTGTTTGAGAAAAAATGATTCTGAAAAAGTAAAAATTGGTAGTGTTTGATAAAATAAGTGTTTTTTGTGTAATAGAAACAGTGAAAAACGGGTTAAAGCACCCCTCAACCTGCTTCCAGTTTTTAGCTTTTAAGTGATTAATTAATTTAAGCAGAAGTTATCACTTGAAAACACCCATTTCAACTTTTTTAAAGTCAAATGGTGAGAAACGCTTTTTTTTTTT